CTTGGAGTTGCAATATCTTTCCCTCATCCTTGGAGTCAAATGATACTATCCCAATCTAATACCACAAACTGTATCTTTTTCCTGTTTTCCTTTTCTGTTAGTTAAACATGCTGTTCTCAGCTTGTAACTTTAATGGAAACATTGTACGATTTGGTCATTTCTAAAATTTTTCTGCACACATTTCCACCAGAACACAGAAGACCCAGCCTTCCTTGCGATATGTGGTCAATAGGGAGGGATCCCTTGATCAGGCAACTATCTCCAACACCTCCCTTGTAGAATAAATGATGACACTGTTTCTAATAGATCTGATCATGAAACGCAAAGTTGAGGGGCTCACTTTATTTGCTTCAGCAATTCCTGGGGATGGCTCACCAGGTAGGGGGACAGGAAGAGACAGAATAGGACAGGGATTAGAAAAGAAGGTGATGTGGAAAACAAAGGATATCCATAATGTTTTTTAAAGGAAGTAACACCTGGATTGAACCTCAGGTCCCCCCCTTTTCTTTCCCCTTCTTTTTTGACATTACAGTTTTATTTTTCAAATCAATCACATTATAAGAAATAATGGGGGGGGTGGCAAAGAATGGCTTGTTCATACTAAATTCCCTTCAAACTCAACAGGAAGAGTGTCTTCTCATGGAAAGGTTTGTCTCCCATTGCTCTCCAGCCTTGTGCCCATACCTGCACAGGGCCGAGGTCGAAGCTGGGTGGGCTGGGTGGGCATGGGCAGATCTCTGGGCTGTTCTGGTAACTCAGTTTTATAAGGATTCTTGTGCCCACAGCTGCAGCAGAAAGGCCTTCCAATGCCTTCTCACAATGTCCTTACCCCACAGTTCAATTTGCCTCCAATGTAACAGGCTTCTCTGGGTCCAGGCCTTGTCCTCCCCTGTCACTTCCCCACATTCAGTTAAACCACTTGAAGGTGGAAAACATGTCATTCTTCATCTCTGTATGTTTAACCCTGCGCACCGACATCTCAGCTGTTTGCTAAACTGAAAGTCTCATGTGAGTCTGGGTACCATGAGTCATTTTTCCCAGGCCCCTTTTCCCCACCCCAGAAGAAGCTGACCACTGACTACCAATCTAAAAAAACTATGCCCTGGGCCACAGAATCACAAGAACATAACTGGAAGAGACCTTAGGGGGCCATCTAGTCCAACACCTTCATTTTACAGATGACGAAACTGAGGCTCATAGAGATTAAGTGACTTGACTGAGGTAATAAAACCTATATGTTCATAAGATCATAGGCTTAGAGCAGGAAGGGACCTTAGAGGCCATCTGGTCTAATCCTTTCATTACGCAGTTGAGAAAAATGAGACCCAGAAAGGTTAAGTGACTAACTAAGATGACATGGGCAATAAAAGACAAAGGCAGGAAATGGAGATCAGGTCCTGTTCAAAAGCCTGTTCTCTCTCCACTGGGCCGTGATGTCTACTTCACATCTCCCCCAACTCTGAGATACCATAGGACACCCTGAGACCAAGTCTGAAACAACTTTTAAAAAGGTCATTTCTTATTATAATGTTGACCCCCAACTTCCAGACGGAGGAATATTGCCTCAGTCCCCTCTGCATCTGCCCCTGTGCTCAGTGAGCAAGCTCACATAATAACCTGGTAAAGGGAAAAGAAAATTCAGAGAAAATGCTGCCTTCAGAGCTAGAGAGAGAGGGGCACCCTGCAGTGGTGAGTAAATAGTCAGAGTTAGGAAGAGAGCCTGCTCTCTCTTACTGCCCAGGTCAAGCATCAGCATGGTGTAGTGGGAAAATCACTGCCTTGGGAGTCATAGGAGCTGGGTTCAAATCCCATCTTTGATGCCTGTAACCCAAAACACCTTAGACTAGTCACTTAACTTCCATGGGCCTCAGTTTTTTTCATCTGTAAAATGAAGGGACTCTGAGGTCTCTTCCCTTCTCAATCTTGAACCCTAGAAATAAGGTAACCTTTCTGCATCACAGCAAAGGGTTTTCTTCACCCAGAGTTCCTATGTGCACTGATGAAATCCTCAACATTAACCAAATAAATGGCTTTCTTCCCAGCCCCATGAAATGTAGTAAGGGCCATTGGGTCCAGCCCAAAGAGGAGACAGGACAGCTCAGAATCATCAGGGAAGGTGCATGAATGCACTTCCTGGCCATCTCCACCATGCCTCCTAGATGGCCACCACACCCCCCTGCCCCCAGCTCTCCCTCATCTTCCTCCATTAGAATGTAAGCTCAGTGAGGGCAGGGCCTGTCATTCTTGTTTGTATTTGCATCCCCAGCACTTACAACAGTGCCTGGCATATTGTCAGGAACCTCTCAAGTCCAGAAATGGCTCTTTCCCATGCCTCTCTAGCCTTGAGACTGGAGAGAAACTTCAGATCAGGCGTGCCTCCTTCTGATATGAATCCCTGGCCCTGAATGCCGCTCCCTTCCTCCCATTGCCCAGGGCCAGAGCCGAAAGGGACCGACTCCAACCCCGAGCTTCATGAGACTCCCTTCTCTGACACCCCCTATTAGCAGTCAACCATCTTCTACCCTAGCAGTTCCAGGGAGAGGGATAAAATGAGTCAACACATGTAAAGCACTCTGCAAACTTTAAAGCACTATAGAAATGAGAGCGATTATTAGTGCTGTTGTTGTTGTTGTTGTTATGTTTACCTCTCATGGATTCCCATTCCGCTTTTGACCAGGTCTAATATGTAGGAAATTTTCAAAATCTGCATCTCTGCAACTTCTTTCCAGTGCTTCCAGGCCCTCTGTCTGAGGCCAGACAGACCCTTTAGACAGACCCTTATCGTAGCCTCACTATGTCACGCAGGTGTGGGAGCAGCTGGCCTCGTCAGCTGGATTCTTCTCTGTAGGTTATCAAATCTCAGCTTCCTAAGCAGGGTGCTGTTTTACAGAAAAATGAATTTACACACAACAGCCACACGGTGGCGCTGTGGACACCACGGGCAGTCCTTATGGCTACACAGATTGAATAAAGTCCCTGGCCTTACCAGCAGCAGCCACGAGGTGGCGCTGGAGCGAAACAAATTAAAACAAACCTGAGCCTGACTTAAAAGGCCACAGGATTGCGCTGTGGCCACATATTTACATCCAGCCTCCCAAACTACCTTATAACTCTCACCCACGCGCACCACGCTCTCCTTACCCCAGGAGCACTCTGGACATTGCCTTGTGGCCACACCTCCCCTGCAGAGGAGCCAGAAAACAGCAGCAGAGGGGGCGGGGCAATGGGGAGCCCTGCAGTTCCTGCCCCCATCACACCCCACCCCCGCCAGGGCCAGGCTGCAATCTGCCCACATGGCTGGCCAAAAGGAAGCACAAGGAGCTAACTGCCAAGGCAGAAATGGAGCAGGGCCGCAGTGACCTCTGGGAAAAGGGCAAGGTCACAGAACAGAGGATTCTGGGAGTGGTAGTAGTCCTGCTGCCTAGGACCTACAGGGACGTCACTCTTGCTTGCAAAGGGTGTCTTTCTCTCCAGTAGCTTAGCGTTCTTACTAAGAAGCACAGGACAGGGAAGAGCATGTGGTTTTTGTAAGGAAGAGCAACACCTCTTAGCTATGTGACCCCAAGCAAGTCACTTGTGTCCAAACCTCAGTTTCCTCATTTGAGATAATACTTATAAAGTGCTTGGCACAGTGCCTGGCACATAACTAGGTGCTTAATACGTGCTTGCTCCTCTCCCTTCCCCTCCTTATTTGTAAAATATTACAACTTACAACACCTGTGGGTACTATATATACCCCACAGAGTTTTTGTGAGCCTCCAAAGCACTTTATACAGGCAAGCTGTCGTCAGGAAAGGCAGGGGGAGCAGGGCTCAGAATCAGGGATGTGACTTCTCTGACGCTTAGTAGCTGCAAGACCCTGGCCAAGTCACTCAACTTTTCAGCATCCCACTCTCTAAGGCCATTCTCTAAGAATATAATTTGCAGAGTCCATCAGTCAATAAGCATTTCTTAACACATACTACATGCCAGGAACTGTCTGGAACAAGCTGCCCTGGAAATCATGGGGTTCCCCATGACTGGAAATGGACTGGCAAGGAGATTTCTGCCCAGGAGGTGTGAACTAGATGTTTTCCAAGATTCCTTCCATCAAAGACATTGGATGATTGTGTGTCTTCAGAGATGACAAGGACTTCAGGATTTGGATTTGTGACAGAGGGTGATGGGACCAGCTGTCTGAACAAGGGTACCCATTCCCTGCTCCCAGAAGAGATTGGAGGCTCATTCAGTCGGAACCAGACTTCCAGCACCCTATCTCAGAATACCCTCCACCCTACTCCAGAGGCCAACAGGAAATGTTCACAGCCTTTTCCCCAAAAGAGCTCAGTCCTGCAACCAGGGTTGAACCTTAGGTAGCCTCTGCTGCAGGGGGGCGGGGGGAAGAATGAAGGAGAAAGGTGCACTCTCATGGACAAGCTGGAGTCAGGGAGCTGGAGGGAGCCTCAGCTGTATCAGCCCCCAGGGAAAGGATCTAGTCCCTCCCATGGAGGTCTCGCCTCCCCTGGAAGCAGAGAATGAACTGCCTGAGTGCCATGAGATGCCTGGCTCTGATGTGTTCTCTGTGTGGCCATGGCAGGACTGAACCTGTTTTCTCTTCTGAGAATGAGCATCTCAGAGATCCCTTCCAGCTAGAAGTCTATGACCCTAGGAGATGAAGTTTTCTTTCCTCTGGTTGGCAGTTTGCTCATCTGTAAAATGGAGCAGTTTGCAACTGCAGTCCTAGAGAGCTCCCTGAGCATTCGGGAGACATTGCCTGCACTCACATTGCTAGTAAGTGTCCACAGAGGTGAGATTGAAGCACAGGTCTGGGTTCTAGGTGGCACCAGCCCTCTGTCCAATCCACGAGCGGCCTCTCTCCTAACGCAGAGGCAGCAAGCACTTAATCAATGTTCACTGAACTGAATACTGCTGTGACTGGGAGGGAAGGAGAGGACCAGTCTCTAGCATCACACACCCAGGACTCCACAGACCCCAAGCCGAACTACCACTCCCAGAATGCACTGAGAGTCCACCTCAACACTACATTTCCCAGAGGCCTCAGCGGTGCTCTTCCACTTCCAGGCTGGGCCTTTCACCGCTTTCCCTCCTCCAGACTCTAACAACCTTGCGCTCTGGTCAGGGTGGGCCTGGAGATCAACCCCAGAGGCGCTGGGGGGGACGGTTTGGTGAAGATGTAGGTGGGGGTTGGGGGCGGCTCCCCTTTCCCCCCTCCCTGCAGGCGCTCCACCCGGGGATGCTGAGCAAATCTGTGAGCAGCAGTGGCGATGTGCGGCCACACAATGCTGTGTGCTAATCTGTGTGACCTGCAGCGCCAACATGTGGCCCCTGTGTGCATGGTCAGACTCTAGGAAT